AACAGATGTGTTGTCACTTTTGTCCGACAACAAAATAATTTACCTAAATAATACTAGCTTAAAGTATGGATGGTAAATGCAGTGTAATAACAATTATAGGAACAGGTTTATGATGTAACAGTATTGGATCGCTAACAACTTAATTCTACTCCAAAGTGTACCTTTTCTTTCATAAGAAAACATATGAGAAGTAATTTTATTCTGGGCTAAACACAACATAGCCTCTAAACTATCCTGTAGCCATCCAATAATTAATCTAATCCAAGTTTGAGTCCAAATCCGGGTCCAAATACTCAACTGTCTAACTTCTTATTGCCAACTGCATAATCTACCTTCATAATCATCACTCAATGGGAATTTCACTAACGGGTTTCTCCGCCCCTAGTCACTCGGTTGGCTACCCAAGTGACCTTAAATGCCGATGTCTCTATGTAGTACAGCGGATAAGCTCCCAATATAATGAAAATTGTGCACTTTTTGAGAAAAGCATGAAACTTCTAGCATAGTTAGTTTAGACCATAAGATTTATTTTCAGATGTGGAGGGAAGTCAGATTTGACCTCTGATGACCCTGAGAGGTCAAATCCAAAATGGCCGCTATTCCTCATGCTAATGTACAAACACATTTAACTTTTGAACCAAATAGTCCAGAAAAACATTTAAGGTGTCATTTCCAACTAACTTGGGGATGCCAATTCATTTGGTAATACTTTTGAGATCGCTTGAACTTAGGGTTTTGCATTTAGGTCAAGGTCATGGTCAAAATTGACTAAAAAATAGCAAGTTTTGAATGGTTACAAAAAGTTTTCCCATTTATTTGTCATTTGTTCTCTCCTATGTTCTCAAATTTCTTTAGGAATTTACGCGCCTTAATCCCTTTCAGTGAGTTTATGTCACATTTTGATTTGACCTCTGATGACCCTGAGAGGTCAAATAAAAAATGGCCGCCAGTCCGCATGGTCTAATAATTGTACAAACACGCTTAACTCATGAACAAAATAGTCCACAAAAGCGTTTAAGGTGTCATTTTTAACTAACCTGGGGATGCCAATTCATTTTGGTAATAATTTTGAGACCGCCAGAACTCGGGGCTTTGCATTTAGGTCAAGGTCAAGGTCAAAATTGATTAAAACATAGCAAGTTTTGAATAGTTACAAAATGTTTTCCCATTTTTTTGTCCCCTTATGTTCTCAAATTTCTTTAGGAGTGGTTCCCCTGCATAGTCTCCATCGTAATCAGTTAGTTTATTTCACTAATTATAGCACCAAACCATTATTTGTCTTGTAACTGACCATTTGCATATAGCATGGTCAGTGGGCAGCTAGCAGCGCTCAAAATACACGAGGGCGGTGGGCGATTCGCCCCCGTGAGCTACATAATCGCCCCCGTCAGGTTGCTCACGGGGGCGATTGCAAAATTAAAAATCGCCCCGGTGGAATTATAAAATAAAGATTATCTTTTCTGTTATAACTTTAACACAATATTGAGTTTCAATTTTCAAACCTTAAACCAATGAAATGGAACTCAGATTAGCGTGCAAGATTTCTCGTTTTATGAGTAGGCCTATTTACCGATTCAGCTCGCAGTGCAGTGCCGCCGTCAGCAGTGGTTATAGGCCTACTGCGCCTTTAGTAGCGGTGCGTGTGCACGCTGCCGCGCCATGTCTGCTGGAGCTGGAGGCGATCGCGCAAGGGCAGAAACATGGTCATGGCCTGGAGAAGATTTTCGTTGTCAGCAAATAATGAACCTCGACCAGTAAATCAATATTAGGGACTTTTAGATTTGCACGATGAGAACGTGGACTGCAACGTGTGACCTCCTTTTAAGGCACTGCCAGTGCTTAAAAGGACGTCACATGTGACTGCCAGTGCCTTAAAAGGACGTAACACGTCCACGTCCACGCAAACCTAAAAGTCCCTTTTGAGGAGAAGAGGAAGACCAAAATGTCGTGGAATGATATGGTAACATGGGCAGATCTACGGGGGGGGGGAGGGGTTAGGGGGTTTAACCCCCTCCTCCCACCCCCGGCCCCCTTGTGCTGCCAAGTGAAAATGTGATATTAAAGCGGGGGGGGGGATGCTGGAGAGGAGGACTACTAATCTATTTTATTTTTTTCAGGGGGCGGGGGGAAGTGAAGCGCTGTTTTAGCATGACTTTCTTTTTAACTCTTACTTTCACCTATCTCAGATAATCCTAAGTTTTTGGTTGCTGCTTTATATGTAGTTGATAATGGATGATTAAAATAAAGAGAGAGAGAGAGAGAGAACCACCATCATTTTGCAATGGTTCAGGGTTCGTGTAAGGTACATTTGAAACCATTTCTTAGCGTCTCAACCCTAAAAAAATAGCAAAACTATTTTTGAGGAAAAGCATTATACTGAATTAAATAAAGAATAATAGCTTTATATTGGATCATACTAATACTGATACGGGCTAAAGACAATGTGGTATTTGTATAGAGGTATTCCAAAATGACATTCTGATAATCAACATTTGTTCTGGTATCATAATGTATATACGCACGATACAACTGATCTTTATGATTTCTTAACTTGACATAGCTTCTTCTCCCTCTGCAAACAAAACAGAAAACAAGGTTATTTAATAAAAGGACCATGCGACAAATAATCATTGTGATTCAAATTGATGCAAGGATTTTTTTGAATAAGCAATGCTTTTCACCAGAATCTTCTTTGTAAAAACGACTTTTACAAATCTCAGCCATGCAATTCTGCCACTGTGCTGTAAGATCACTTTGAGATTAGGAGAAGTGTATTATGTAATGGGTATTTCAAATTGAATGGAACGTCTCAATCAACATTTGTTCTGGTATCATAATGTATATACGCACGATACAACTGATCTTTATGATTTCTTAACTTGACATAGCTTCTTCTCCCTCTGCAAACAAAACAGAAAACAAGGTTATTTAATAAAAGGACCATGCGACAAATAATCATTGTGATTCAAATTGATGCAAGGATTTTTTTGAATAAGCAATGCTTTTCACCAGAATCTTCTTTGTAAAAACGACTTTTACAAATCTCAGCCATGCAATTCTGCCACTGTGCTGTAAGATCACTTTGAGATTAGGAGAAGTGTATTATGTAATGGGTATTTCAAATTGAATGGAACGTCTCAACTCAGTAAGCATGGCTGAGATTTGTAAAAGTTGCCCGTCGAAAGTTCCAATTCCTACTTATCAACAACTTCAGAATTTTATTGACAAACCAGTTTTAAACCCGTTTTATCTATAAAAAAAAAATCATCTCTTGCTGTCTGTAATTCAGTGCTAAACATACATTTTACTGTTCAATATTGATAATACTATAGAGATAATGTCCAATATTGAGTGTCACAAATTTTTAGGAGTTGTAATTAACTCTATCTTAAGCAACGTTTCTTACTGTACAACTTCTGAGTGCCAAGCCAGAGAGAAAGTGTGTAAACGTGTGATGAGTAAACAGATTCACAATCCAGGTTGCTATTATGTACTCACATTTAGATCAACTACATTGTTATACATGCTTTTGACACATGGGAGCAAATGCATTTTTAATTCAAGTAAATGATTGGCTGCCTTTGTCCTCTATATAGATACATTAACGAGGCATCCACTATCTTACAGATATATTGAACTACAGTTATACACCAAATTACTATGTACAAGTATAAAATACATATTCAAATTGTTGTGGTACTAAAATTAAATTAAGAGTTAACTTAAATCTAAATCTTAATCTAAATCTAAAGGATGCCTCATATATATTAACATGCACTGGTGACATTTTCCGTTACCGAGGCCCGAAGCCTCCCTGTCAAAACATTCATGTCTTTGGTACTTCACTTAATCAAAAAATAAAAGTTTACCACTCATAAATAACTTTCATGTAATAGGACATCTTAAATGATTACGGTCATGGTAACAACAACTTTAAGAAAAATGCCAGCCAAGCCAGTATCAAATTCGTGCCATCACCTTGCCATTTTGTGGTTAAAGGCCAAGTCCACTTAAAAAATAACTTACTTTCAATAGAAGCAGAAAAATCAGACAAACCAATCAAAAAAAGTTTGAGCAAAATCGGATATCTAATGAGAAAGTTATGAATTTTTGAAAAAGTCTGTAAAGCTATGGAACAATGAAAATCACAAGACAAATTGGACATTCACTCACGAGTCTGTGACGTCATGTCCTCACTATCCACTAATTGTTTTCTTTATATTGATAATATAAATTTCCTATCTTCCCCCTAAGAATCTTATTTCTTTACACCAGCATCCAAGTTAGATTGATAGTAATATGTTTTTGTGTTGATGCACTAATATAGAGTATTTTTTTCAGTTAAATCATAACAAATGTGACTTGTGATAAAATATTTAGATAAAAATCAATAATTATGAATATACAATATTCAGAAAATAGTATCAATTCTTCAAAGTTCATAAAACATTTTGTGCAATGTCATGCACGCAATAAGATACAAATCATATAACCTGGGCAAAGGCATGGGGAAATCAAGTTTTGGGGGGATAAAAAGATAAATTAAAGGGATTAAACTATATAAAGCAATTGATACATGGTGAGGACATGACGTCACGAACTGATAATAAATTTGGCAATTTGTGTAGTGATTTCCATTGTTCTATAGTTTTACATACTTTTTCAAAAATTCTAAACTTTCTTATTAGTTATCTGATTTTGCTCAAACTCTTTTAGATTGGTTTGTCTGATTTTTCTGCTTCTATTGAAAGTAAGTTATTTTTGGAGTGGACTTGTACTTTAAGTCCCCAATTCTGCCACAGCGGCTCAACCACTATAAAATCACCACTATGGCCAACTATAACATTTGCCAACCAGTGCGATGCCTGAACTATTTAATTCCATCAAGCTAGCCCTGCCAGTTTAAGAATGCAATTAATTACGTAACTTTCAGCAAATTACTAAACATGTCCAAATACATGTAAACAGTACGTCCCAAATACATGTAAACAGTACGTCCCGGAAAAAACGAAACCGAGAATTATCGATGTTTTATCATAACTTAGTCACATTTATAATTAATAAATGACACATATTTAGGAGTTCTTTTTGCTGCGTCTTGTGTTCTTCTTCGTTTTATGATGTATCTTTCTGCGTCTCGTCAACCGTATACTAATTCTCATGAATCGTCAGCCTCGCCGTGTGGTCCACACAAGTGACATCAACAACCCACGGTTGTCGAGCACATCAAGACGGCGTAAAGATATGCTCTTCATAGTCGTCTTGCTGGCGCCTAAACTCCACAATAATGTCTTTTTTGGAAATTGCTGGGGTAATAATAATTACTGGGTAATATTCATTGCTGGGGTAATAATAATTGCAGGGCCCACAGGACGAGCAGTGTTCTATTGTCATATTGATGTGGCGACCCTGGGTAAATAAGGCCTGAGTTTTTGATAAAATTACAGTTTCTAACCAATATTTCCGATGTCCAAACAAGATGTCGATGTAGAAAAGGTTGACAGATAAATTATAGTTGCACTGATGACGAAAAGAAGGGGAATCTGTGGTTTTACAGATCATTTGCTCTTTTCTTTTGTTTTCTGCGAAGGGCAAGTAAAAAGAGTAAGGCATTTACCTCCAGAAAGCAAAAACCAAATCCAATCCCGACAAACACCGTAGTGAACGATTGTGTGGCATCCTTGATAAGACCTGTGTGTGAAAGAAAAATTACTATGAGAATAAAGTGATAGGTGATAGTTTCAATAAAAGGGAATATGATGCTTTTGTTCAGTTTGAAAACGTGTACCTTGCCACATTGACATCATGGTAGAAGAATTCAAGATTTAAAAAAAAATCATTACTATTTCTAAAAAAAATAGATCGACATTCCAGTTAATCAAAATTTCTCTTACTCAAATGATGTTCCTGTATTTCGTTTGGTTTGTTTGTTTGTTTCGCTTTGCTTTTGCCTTGTTAGTATAATATGTTTCTTCAGATAAGTTGTTTGCAAATCTACTTCGACCACCACTTCCATTAAAATTACCATTAACGAAGTCTCGTGACGCTACTACCAACATTGTTTAATTTTTTGTACCAAACACGAATGACAATTGTAAGACTTGTAAACATTATGAATCGTACCTCCAAGGAAGCCTCCAGACATCCTCCCTAGCCCCGATACCAGACCATCGATGCCCGCAGCCATAGTGAAGTTCTCGTCGGAAACGGAATACTTCAGGTAACCTGAGAGCGCCAGATTGCAGGAGAACACACTCCACCCTTGGATAAAGGCTACAACGCACATCACTGGAAACGTCGTGATGAAGGGGTCTGCCAGAAAGGTGACTGCAGACATCATGAAGAACACACAGGACAGAACTATTGGGTTAGCACCGAAGTAGAGAAGAGCTATAAAGAAGACCCGGCCCACGATACCTCCTGCTCCACCAGCAGTCGACACGAAGACTGCCTTGGAGCTCGGGATGCCATGCCATTCCGCTCTGGGCACGAGAAAGAGCACCCAAGCATTTAAACAAGCTAAGGTGAAGAAAAGACACGGAAGTGTCATGGTGAAGAGAGGCTCTCTGATAAAAATGCAGTCTTTGAGCCATTCCTTGATTTTTGTAATACACCTTGTGGATGACTCTGGTTCTTCTTTCGAGATATATTCATCGCCCTCCTCTCTCACCAGTTTCTCGTCGCTACCAGTTGCCTCATGATCGTTCTTCTTCTTCATGGAAGGTTTTGAAGGCCTATCTCGGGGTTTCCTCAGAGTGGCACTTGCTGGAATGGCATGCAACGAAAAGGCAGCAAGTATAAGCATAGCTCCAATGTAACCATAGGCCTCCAGCGACCTCTCTATGACGAACGGCGCAATGAAAGCTCCTGTTGTACTACCAAGATTGGTGACGGCAGCCATCAGAACATAACTCCTTTTAAAATATTCATTCAGCAACACTTTGGTAGATAGATAACCCATGGATAAGCCAACACCTAATATAAATCAAGAGAAGACAACATAATAAATAGAGATTTTCTCTCCAAAACTTTTAATCGCTTTTGTCGTCTCAATTTACATATTGACACGAACTGTATTTTCTGATTTTTACTTTTACGTTCTTAAGGTGAAATACGATGCATTTGAAGAAACCTGTATGAATGGAAATGTAAAAATATACCAGAAATTGCTAGTTTGCAAGTGAAAACGGTGCCAGGTAAAAATGTTAGAGGAAAAAATGTCAGAGGAAAAAATGTCAGAGGTAAAAATGTCAGAGGTAAAAATGTCAGAGGAAAAAATGTCAGAGGTAAAAATGTCTGAGCCAAAAATGTCTGAGCCAAAAATGTCAGAGGTAAAATTGTCAGAGGTAAAAATGTCAGAGGAAAAAATGTCAGAAGTAAAAATGTCAGAGGTAAAAATGTCAGAGGTAAAAATGTCAGAGGAAAAATGTCAGAGGTAAAAATGTCAGAGGTAAAATTGTCAGAGGTAAAAATGTCAGAGGAAAACATGTCAAAGGAAAAAATGTCAGTCGTAAAAATGTCAGAGGTACAAGCAAAAAAAATGAGTGCCGTCATAATATCTCAGCACTTTTATCACACAGAATGTCGAGACGTACTGCTACTGCATGGGCTAGTCTATTATATTCCTTTCTTCCATAATGTAAATTTTATAAATGGCTGTGTGTTGTATTTTATACATGTCCTGAGGATAATACAATGTGGAAAATAGATTTTGAAATGTATTTTGTTGTGACCAGGCTTGCATATAACTGTACACGGGCTAGGTTGCAGGCTGCCACCGGCCAAACCAGTCCGTTTCACAAACATTAACACATCAATTACCAATTCAAAATATCAAAAAATGTTAGACATTCATACATATATGTTAGACATTCATACATATATTATATGTATGAATGTCTAACATTTTTTGATATTTTGAATTGGTTGATGTGTTAATGTTTGTGAAACGGACTGGTTTGGCCGGTGGCAGCCTGCAACCTAGCCCGTGTAACGTTCCAGAGACGAACAAAGTCCAAACGAAGAAATAAAAGTTCTCGACAAAAGTCAAGTGTTAAAGTGAGTGGTACAAATAGTTACATAATATAATCACGAGGAATCACGAAAAGCTACATATTATAAGGGCTGGGCGCCCCGAACTCTGCTAAAGCTTTAACACCTCATGGCGGCAAAGGAAGTGGAGTAAGAATAAGAAAATCAAACTAAAAACCCGCTCAAAAAAGTAAAAGACCGTCTCGATTCAGAAGCTCGATCCCCATCTTAAACTCTCCGACAATTATAAATATCGATGTAATTTAAACTGAACCTCTGCAAAGCGCGCGCTTCTCTGGAATGTGATGGTGCGGTTGGCATTTAAAGATAAAGTTGAGTTCTGGTCTTGCGATTGCATTGTGAAAGAAACGGTGTGGAAGCAATCAGAAAAGGTTGATCATCTAGCATAAACATTTTTTCTTTGATGTTCTTCCACACTTGCATAATAAGAATGATAACAAACGCTCACACATTATTGTTCACCTTTCCCCAGAACTCAACCTTCTCTTTAATTGATGTAACATGGGCGGCTTTCTGCTTTGTATCGGAGTAACAAAGCTGCTAATTGATTTTTTCCCAGACTATTTTATACCCCAATAGTAATCGACAATATTTTATTGCAACGTGCGCACTTTGGGAATGTGATGGTGCGGTTAGCACTGATAACATGGCTTTCTGCTTTGTTTCAGAGTATCAAAATACCAAGCCCACAAGAAAGTGGAATTCTCGGAAATATGCATTTATTGGAAATTACATAATTATAATAGTAGTCATTGCCACGCAGTTAAAATGTCCAACAATCTCCAAAAGTGAAGGAGAAGTGGGGGGGGGGGGGGGGGGAGGTTCATAGATATCTGATCCTATTTTGTGGGCTGTACTCACTTTTCTTTTTATTTAATGATTACACCATGGAGCGACAACTCACCCTATAAAACATGGCCAAACTTCTCAATTTTAGAAATCTTTTCCCCCAGAAGTTTGCTCAGTGTACCAGTACCATTTGCTTATACAACAGCATAATATACCGGTATATAAATATTGAATAAGGCAGACTAATGGGACATGCATGGTTGCTACTCCGAGTTTCACGCCTTACAAGCGATCATCAGACAACTGATAGCATTCTTCAAAGTACATGATTCCTCTACAACCTTGGTACAAATACGCTCAAAATAAGACTTAACTAATACAATACAATACAATAAGACTAATACAATACCTGAATACAATACAATAAGAATACTCATGAGTAATTCCAATTGTATTTTATTAGTTAAGTCTTATTTAGGGGTATTTGTACCAAGGTTGTAGGATAATCATGTACTTTTAAGAATGCTATCAGTTGCCTGATGACTGCTTGCAAGGCGCGAAACTCGGAGTAGAAACCATGTCCCATTAGTCTGCCTGCTCTGCCTAGGCATTGACCACTGTTCGGAAGGATTTATTGGCAAAGCATAATATAAGAGGAAGGGGGAGAGCAGCCGGGTCACCGTGCCCCAGAAGAAGAATACCCTCCCCCCCCCCCCCCGTCTTCCTTCGGCAATAATCGGGCAAAAAGTCACAATTTGGGGCCGAAAGGTAAATTAATTTAAACTGGGAAAGTGGAAAATAAAGCAGCAGTGAAATAACGACTGCAGAATATTCCTCGCTGTACTTTTTCGATAAGCCTAATATATAATCCGGGTGTAACCAAAAACTTGCTTTTGTTTTTATTTTATACCTCTAACATTTATACCTCTGACATTTTTTCCTCTGACATTTTTACCTCTGACATTTTTACCTCTTACATTTTTACCTCTGACATTTTTACCTCTGACATTTTTACCTCTGACATTTTTTCCTCTGACATTTTTACCTCTGACATTTTTACCTCTTACATTTTTACCTCTGACATTTTTACCTCTGACATTTTTACTTCTGACATTTTTTCCTCTGACATTTTTACCTCCGACATTTTTACCTCCGACATTTTTACCTCTGACATTCTTACCTCTGACATTTTTTCCTCTGACATTTTTACCTCTGACATTTTTTCCTCTGACATTTTTACCTCTGACATTTTTTTCCTCTGACATTTTTACACCGAGCCGTGAAAACAGTAGTCATAAATGTATATTCTATTACACGTTGCCAGGTAAAAGATTTTTAATGCTCATCTTAATTCACAAAAAGTTTTTTTTTAACCAACGGTATAATTAGAACAACATAAAATGATTCAAAATGTCAGTTATTGCTGTTCTGTCTACTCCTCTTAGATGTCTAAATCAACATGACTTGTGATGCACAAATTATACTAAAAAGTGACGTTTTAGGGTTTCGTTATTCATTATGTTTAGACTGGTATTTAATTAATACACGAGTAAGCCTACAAATCATGATAGAATCAGTATAATCATTACTAACCCATAACAGAACAGTTGTACTTCTATAACATAACTGATGTGGGCTATCCGCCATATTTTGTGTTGTGTTATCCATTTCATTGAATATAGGCCTATTATACGTCGCATGGCTTGTAGAGTAGGGATAGTTACGTCCCCGGAAGTGGCGATCGTTCATAGGTCAAACTCATCGAGCACCGAAATAGTTCCCTCAATCAGAGATTGTAAGAATGAAGGTTTGGACTATTTGAGCGTGCACGCGTTCTCGTGGCACAACTACTCCCTCGATATTATATGGTTAATATTTTATATTGCTGATTACGGAATTAAAACAAACAAACAAGCAACCAAAGAAATAGGGAAATAAAACAAACCAACCAACCCGTGAGGGAAAGGCATAGTCCTAGTTCCGTTATGGACGTGGTGAAGCCAGCAGCAATCAGAGTGGCCGCGGACAAGAACGCCCCTGTCAAAGCGATCACTCGGGGTTTCAAAACACCTGTCTTTAAGACGTAAGCAACAGCGGGACCTGTTGGTGTCAAGAGATGTCAAATGTGAGGGAAGGTTCATAACAATCGTTTTATTACTTTTTTTTATATTTCACTTCAGTTCCTATCAACACGATCGTAAATAATTTCGAAAATCAACATGAGGCATTTTCGGTAGCCTTGTCCATCACTGTGGAAATATGACAATATTATAATGATGTATTACGTAATCCAACCATGATTTTCTATGGCATATACAAAAGGGAATTGAAATTTCCCTGGAGTTGATTTATTTTCTGGAATGTCTTGGTGACTGTGTTCAATATATGAACACAACCAGGGGTAAGTAACATAGCAACAAATTGTACCTACTAAACATAAATAACACAAGACATTATTGACGTTGCAAAAATGTCCACACTCAACCCTGCCCCTTCAAATACGACTAAAATTTAATGTGCTCACATGCAATGTTCATCCAGGCAGATGGCATGCTACACGCAAGCCCTATGGTCTTTGTATTTGTTGAAAGAATAGTAATCATGACGGGAATGAGAACACCAAATGACTTGGAAATCGCCATCTCGATGCAGTTGATGACAAACTTGCTGACTACACAAGTGTACTTCCAAGTGTCCGCGGAATCCTCGCTCTGAAGTGTGGCCATGTTGGTCTATTGGTATCTAATTTGAGAGATGGGCATGCAATTAATATTAGAAAAGTTGAGAGGAAAAGAAAATGTACAACGTTCATGCATTTAATACACTCACACACACGCACACACACACACGCCCACACGCACACGCACAATATACAATCACACAAATGACAGCAGACCCACACACTCATACACAAAGATCGTATAAAGTCAAGCATTGCTTGAGATTGCGGTCTCCTGCACGTTTTCCACAGATGGTTCGGATAATACTTTAAATTTATAATAATATGTATTATAGAAATATTAAGTTTCGTATGTATATAAAATTATGTAAATAACATTTTGAAATGAAGTTATCATTGTTCGTATATTTTGTATTATACCTTACGTTTATATGTTCTTTGTT